GTGTTAATAAACAAAAAGATCCCGTGATGCACAGTTTCGGGACCGCACGAGGCAATCGCTGAGAGCTTGGCAGCCGTCCTCTCTGGGTGCCCATCCTCCTGGCAGAGCCGAGCCGCCCTCCTCGACGCGCAGCAGACATTGCCGCACAGGGCAAGGCAGTGAGTCAGCAAGGCGGATTGCTGGGCTCGTTTCAGCCGCCGTTGGCTCCCACCGAAGGCAGGATCTGGTTCAGGGTTGCTGTGGTGACTATTTTCAAAGCTCTGCCTGGAATTCATTTTAGCTACCAAGAGACTGTCTGTCACTCCATGGCTACCACCTCCCACAAGAGCTTCACTCTGCTGCTAGGCTGGAGCTGTTAGGGAATCGTCCCCTGCAGACAATAGAGGCCAGTGGTCTGCTGTTTATACCCAATAAAATCTCTTCGGTTCCAGAAGTTCTGCATCGATGAGTATTTTGGCCTTAAGATGTTGTTTGGCACAGGTTTTGCTGGACACCGCTAAGGTTGGTGTTTTGTAGCCTAGCACAGAGCAAGTTGCAAGTGAAATCCAATTTTGGCTAAGTCTGCTTTTCTCTAAATAACTACAACATGTTTGTTTTTTTAAAAAAAAGAATAATAGTGGAGCAAAAAGGCATGCACGCCTGAATTTTTCTCCTTTCTTTCCTCTTTCTATCAGTCTTGTTTGTTGCTGTTACAGTGGGGAATTCATATGTGGTAACATGGGATAAATCCTGGTAAAACATTGGCGTGATGTGCTTGTAGCAACAGTGGCACAAGGAGATGGCTTCTGTAAAAAAGCTAATCTGGAAAGTTAGGCCAGCCCAGGGCTAGGCAGACTAACTCTTTGAATTCCTGAAGATATTAAAGATTTTCATTCCTGACTTAGTTGCCTGTATCCTGTTTTCTTCTTCCTTTTGCATGAATCCCTATTTATTTTTTCTCCTCCCCTTTTCCTCATCCTTGCCCTCAAGTGTTCCTGGTCTTTATATATTGAGTTTCCCTTGGCATGCTGAAAATCTGCTGATGAATACCACTTGTTTGAAAGTTGCATGCAAGATTTCTTTTTGTGCAAGTGTTTTCTATGAAATCCAAGTGAGCAAGTATTCAGAACTTACTTGTGGCTTCAAGCCTAAGTTTTTAGTTGTGTGCGTATGATATTTGCAGTATACATCAGAAATACAGTTAGAGGACAACATTAAAAATTGTCTATGCATTTAGAGTGTTGCTTACTAGTTTGAATGTATCCAGAGGAAAAATATCTGAAGGACATATTTGAAAAATAGCGAACAGCTTTTTGTAAGGATGAAACCTATTCATCATTGAAACAAATGATCACAAGAAGTTAGAAGATCTCTGCCATCCAAGTTTTCAATTCCATAACGGATGCTTTGCTAGAGCAGAAGCGTTAACGAGCGTTATTTGGGTTTTGTTGCAAATGATTGATAATTTTTGCCTTCAGTCTCCTCCTCCGTAGGTCTCATGATTTTCCCTTGCAAGCCCAGCTCTGACAATCGTAGCTCACCCGTCGTGAATTGTGTGTTAATGCTGGAGATGTCCCTTCCTGGCCTGCCCCATATTTCACAAGCTTTTACAGTCTTCAGCAATGGAAGTACCTCAATTTTGCGGTCGCATGACAGTTTCTTTTGCAGCTGTCCCTGAACATCTGGGAGTGGTGTAATGTCAAAGGGAAGGAAGATCACAGGGCTGTAGTAACCCTTTGAGTGAATTTGTACATCACATTTATTAATTGTTACATATTTCAGAAATAGAAAAATCTAGAAGCACCTTTCATTCAGTATGGCAGAGATTTGGTGTCTTCGTTTACAAGTTTGAGTTGATGTATGTTAGCTAGACAAGCAAGTCTTAATTTCTGATTTTGCTGGGTGTTGGTTTCGGGGTTTTTCCTTCCCCTGACATGCTTAATCTTTTCTAAGACCCCTTTTGTGTTTTTGTTCGGGCAATTAATGTATAAATGAGGGTTTCTTAAATCAGGATATGCAAGGAAGATTTGAAGTAACATGCTGATTATATAATTAATTCTCAGTTGTAAAATCATTTTGATGGAGTTAATTCTTTCCCAGAGGCTGAAGACTAGTTTTGGTCCACCCACAGTGCTGTAATCAGCTAAGAAATAAAGAAGAAAAAGAGCTTGAAGGAATGGAAGTTTCACGACTGGCTTTAGGAAAAAAATGCCAGAAGCAGGCAGGATATTTTATTTTTAATTCAAGCGAAAGCTTCCAAGCTCTGATTTTGAACCATGGGTATCCAAATCCTGTTTTCACACAGCATAATGTGTTGAGTCTGAAAGAAATCAGAAAGGAATGATACCAGAGGATGATGGATAGAAATTATCTGGGTGGTGGGACCTTGCAGCGATGGGAAAGTGTGTTTAATGGAAGATGTATTTAGGATAATTTTTTACATCTTCCACAAATACGGTAATGTTCAAATATAGCTTTCTGCATGACAGTTGTCTGTTTGCTAAAAACTATGGGCCAGTGACTGTCATCTTGATGGACTATGAGCTGTCTCACTGCTTCTGACAGTGTTTTGTGAGGTGCTGACTTCAGAAAGCATAAACAGCACTACAAAACCTAAATAATTTGGAAAATCCCATTTGTCGTACTTCATTAGTCTGCTTCTCTCTTACTTAACAAGTGACCTAATCATCCTGTAGATGTGTTTAGACTGTAGGTTACCAGAACAAAACAACTATAACGAAGAAAAGGCGTTGAAAAATTTCTGGGGTTTTCAAATGTTCTGCAGGCATATTGCAGTGCCTACTGCGAGGGCAGTTGCTAGCCTATTCTACTCTCTAACAAATGATTTCATTTACAAGGTTTTCTAACCCCAGTCTGTCTCTGCCTTTTCCTTTGTTGGGCGTATTTTGTATTATAAATTGAAAACACCGTTGTCTGGGAGTGATTTTAGCATGCATGATAGGTAAGAATATGCATACAGTTGTCATTATATCCCAGGAACTGGTAGTTTCTGTCATCTTTTCTTCGTCTGCTTGGTGGCTGCAGCAGAAGTTACACTGTGTTGGTTAAACTGCGTTATCACCACGTTTCTAAGCTCAATCAAAGACGTGTAAATGAAGTCAGCATGATGCAGATAAAGCTGACAGATGATCTTCCTTGCAGCTCTGGGTAGCAAGAGTAGGCTTGCCCTGGAATATCACTTTAGATAAAGTGGTTTATTTACCCCTTTGTCTGAATTTGGGCAGAATGAATTTCCCATTGGCTGGTTCTCCATGAACTGCTCCCCAGCTTCTACTTCCAAGTTTGGTGCAAAAAAGCCAACTATGGCTAAGGGACTGTTGTACCATTCTAGTGAGTAAATAGTTAAAAATAATCCCAATGTGTCATTTACATTTGAGTCTAACAAGGTTATAACTGGAGTTGTGTGAAAATGACTTTTTGGTGCTATTTTCACATAAACCGACTATTTATTTATTTATTTTGTTCTGGGGTTATTTCACACCCGAAGGGTTTCATTTTTGTTGGTTGTTTTATTAATGTAAAAATACTCATTTTCACACCCAAAAGTGTGATTATTTAAAATGCTGCTTCTATTCATTGTGCACTCACTTGCAACCTAAAGGCAAATATTCAAATGTCTGGAGCTTGATAACTCCGTAGTGGTTTTGGCTGGCTTTTTAAACTCAAAAATTGCTGTGAGGAGAAATGGGCAGTAAGTAATTCAAAGGGTTACAAGGGCTGTGGTGTCCTGTCTGCCTCTTACCATCCACGGATGGTTCGTGTGTTATTTCAGCACATAACAATGATGCATGCAAGCCCTCTCGCAGCACAGTAGTGCCAAAAGGCTGTAGCAGTGAACCTTCACCTCTCTCGCCCGGTGTGACTTTAGGTAGTCTCTGACCCTCTCTCCTGCACGGAGAAATAACATGGGTTCAAAACACAGAAGCAGAGTTGGAGCAGTGTTGATCCGAGTGTCTCTGGCCCTTGCTTACTCCCACCCACCCTTTCCCCTGCCCTGGCTGGTGAGGACCACGGAGAACACGAATGCAACTCGTATTTTACCAGCATCTCCCCTCTCTGGGCACTGACTGGTTAAAAAGCAACTTAAAATGTCTTTTTTCTAAACTGGGCTGATTTTGGAGAGTCTAAATGTGATGTAAAATCAGTGTCCAGGGCTCTGTGTTTTGTAATAAGTGAATGTTTTGCTGATTTCTTGCTAGAATATCTGCAACCACACCAATTTGCATGCCTGTGTGTGTGTTAGATTGCTGGCAAAGAAATGTTGAATGCTGATAATTGTACACTGATTTCCAAGGCTGATTTAAGTCATTTTTGATTTTTAATTCATTCTATGCTTCCTTTTTATTTCTGCACATGTGTAGTAATGTCCTGTAATGTTGTTGCCTAAAATAAGCAGTAAGAAATGAAGTTGTGAGATGACTGCTGTAAAAAGAAAAGGACATTTTCTCCTTTGATTCTTTTTTTTTCCAGTAAAAGAATAAGTCTCTGTATACAGAATGTTCAAAAAAATATTGCATTCACTATCTTGCTGCTAATTTATATACAGAAAACAGCATGGCTGTTGGGAGACTACAAAGCCTAGAAAAGTGATATTCAGAAGTTCTGCACAATAATATTCTTGTTCTTGAGAAGCACTGAGCACCCAGCACTCTGCTACAGGTCAGCTGGGCTCCGGGGTGCTCAGCATCTATTCTGATTTGGCATGCCACTGGGTTCTTCAGTGAAAGCCCGGTTTGAGATCCTGCAGTCAATTTGTGTTGGAAGATGATGAAACCTTTGCCCATGTGCTGAGGAAAAGGGAGAAAATATAGGAATCTGTATGTTTTCAAGTTAATTGTATGCGGTAAGCCTCGAGTGTGTGTTCTCTCCTTCCTTTAGTGATATACTTGGGTTCGTGGATGCATCGGTGGTACTGGGAATCTTACTTTCTTCACATATCTGTGTATATGTTGGCAAATAGTGAATGTATAAAAAGTTTTGGTTTGTTTTTTTTTTTTTAGGAATCTGAGAAGAAGGGGTTAATTGACAGAATCCACATGGTCCAAGAGATCATTATAGCTGTTCAAAGCATCCTAGAAGAGATAGCATCGTTTGGAGAGAGGATTAAAAAGTAAGTGATAATTTTTTCTTGCTTAGCTATGATTTGCAGTGAAGCAGAGCCAGGAGGACTAAGGTGAAGTGAATTTCTTGCTCCAAAAATGACTGCAAGGTACAGCGGAAGAGCCTGGCCAGTCCTATCACCTTTCCTTCTTCTTATGCAGTCCTGTACTCTAAAAACCTCTCCAAAGCATAGAGAAGAGGAGAAGCCATGTGCTCTGCTGATGTAGCTCTCGCATTCACCCGTTTGCCAGATTTCTGGTCTTTTCTGTCTGTGATCGGGTTGGGAGTCATGATGCTATGCAAGGGAAAACATTGCTTGAAGACGTGAGCACAGAAGTATCAGGCTTTTATTCTTCATTTCCTTCATACAAAGTAGGTAGGAATTGATGGTTGGTATTGCCTTTCCCACGCCCTCCCCACTCTGGCCAGGTTACAGGGGTTACCAATTACTTATTTCCCTGCCCAACGCATTGATGTTTTTTTCTGTCTTTACCATTTTGAGCTGTCTGCTTCCTGCTGGTGCCACAAGGAAGCCCAAAAGGGGTTTTCTGGGTCTCATCGCAAAGGGAGGCAGATAGGGTATTCCTGACCTTAGAAAGGAGGGGAGGTGAAGAGCCTAAAAAACAGCCCCCCCACAAACTTTTATAACCCAGTCTTTACTGGAGCTTAATTGGCCCACATTGTTTTCTGTTTTGAACACAAAGTGATGGTTTGTGATCAAGCCACACTTTAATGAGGAGCTGGGTTCAGGCTAAAAATATAGCAAACACATGTGCTATGGTTCCACGCCGGACACGCCAGCTGGGGTGGAAGTGGCCCAGAGATGTATTCCAGTCTATGAACAGGACACTGTTCTGCCCAGCTGTGTGGCAGGAAGACTCAGAGCGGTTAAACACTGGTAATTCTTGTATTCATTTTGGTAACAATGCCCTTAAAGAACACATTGGATATTAATGTGGATGCCCGATGTAATTTCAGAAGAATCCCATTGTAACTCAACAGTAATGTACCATTAAAAAATTGCCACCAAAGTTTTTCTGTAAGTGACAGACTGAATTGTGCTACAGTTTCCGTCTGTCACTCTAGTTATACAATCATAGAGAGTTTTAATAGTTTAACTGAATTGAGCTGTTTTGCTATTTTTTTTTACTTAAGCTACGTTGATTGATAATGATGGGTCCTCTCCCACCTATCTTTACTTAATATTTAATACATCTATTGAAGCTTAAAAGTAATTCTTTTAGCGTCCTATTAATTTTATCTGTCAAGGGAAGTTCGTCTCATTTTATAGCCTGATAAGTGGTCCATGTTGATTCTTCTTCCTACTCCCCGTCATCATGATGTGATGAAGTTAGCAGGCAGATTGTATGAAACAGAGATGCCCAGATCCGTAAATCTGCCTGTGAACTAATTGGCATTCATGTAGTCCAGGTATCTCAATGTTTAGTGCATGCTGTAGAGATGTATCTTACAAGGGCATAGGGGGACAAAGTAAATTCAAAGGTGGGTTGGCAATAGCTGCTCACCTTAAGTCCATTGTGGGTTTACTGATGAGTGGCTCGAGTGGAAGAAAGGCCTGGTTTATGCTACAGTGCTGCAAAAGTCTGTGGTGACTGAGCCACTGAAGGGTGCTCCCCTGGAGAGCCTGGTGGTGCACAGAAGCTTGGACTGCTGCTAGTGTGCTATAGCTTACCCAGGACAGCCTCCTATACGAAATGCAGTTAAGGGATTGTTGAAAACATAATGAAATAAGAGCAAATATATGAATAAAGAGAGAATTATATAGAATGTTAATCCCTAATAGAGCAATGACGTTAACTGCTCTTTTAAGGTTTCAGTCAGAATTCATCCATTCCAAGTTGTTGGTGGGGCTGAGCCTGGCTACCTGCCGCATTTGAGTCGTGCACTGACACACATCCCATCGGATGGCTCCCGCCTCCAGCATGGCCTCGTCTCCAGATCAGATAATCCCCCCATGAATAATGGAGAGCTGACTGGCGAGCAGAGATGCGTAACAACCGCAACACATATAAGAAGAAACAAAAACAACTCGCTACGTCCCTAACAACTTTACTGAATTCCCCAGAGACTCTCTTCTCTCTCCTCTCTCCTTATCATGATACCTGCATCTCAGATATCTCCCTTAATACATTATGGCATCCAGAGGCAGAAATCTGCTTATCCACCCTCCAAAGGGCCTGCAATTTCAGTGCATTTGAAAGCACCAAGCACTACAAAGAGGTCATTAAATTATTATTGGGTAGCAGAGTGCATGCAGTGTCCAAGAGCAAAAACATTGAGAAGGATTTTTCGTTTTCTTTACAGCACATTCAACTGGACAGTGCCTTTCCTCTCTGTCCTGGCCTGCTTGGTCCTGGCAGCAGCAACAGTCATGTTGTATTTTATACCGCTGAGGTACATTGTTTTAATCTGGGGTAAGTACTCCACTGTGTCTCATTTACATGCAATAAATACAATATATATCTACAGAATGAAATCAAACAAGCTTTAAATGGCCTGTTACACAGACAATCAAGTGCTGTTGCTTAGAGGCAAATAAATATGCTATGAACTTCTAAAATTACCATTTTCCTCCTGCCCTCGGTGATCTGATGATCTGTTTTTCTTAAGATTCTTATAGTTTCTTATAGTTTCCAACAGCATTACAAGAAGAGCATTAGTCTAGATAATCTACTTTCCATATTATTATTATTCTGCAGGAGAGTAATTAGCTTTCTGGTGCTGGAGCCCCCAGGCTGGGAAATGGTAGGGAGTGGACCCAGATGTGTTTGAAGAGCTGGACCACGGAGGCCTGGGCCCCGAGAGCCTTTTGGATCTCCACTCTCCTGAAGTCAGGAGGAGCAGTGTGCCCAGTACCCCCTGGTCCAACGGGAGCATCTCTGTGCATCACGGGTCAGCAAGTATTTGTATGAAGATGCATCATGAAATAAAAGAGGAGCTTTTAACTATGAAAATTTCCTGGTAGTGTTATGAAGAAGCACAAGATGGCCTTTCACAGAGGAGATGACATTCCAGCTGCTGAAGACTTTCTGTATCTCAAAATGGCCTTCTGTCTTATTTAGGGTGATAGCTTTAATCTCAGCCTTGAGGTGCAGGTATTCCTCACCGAACCATTGGAGCTCAGCCCCTGTGTGGCTCTGGGCTGTTGGGGTGCCCCGTCACCCTTCCAGGGCTGAGCCATCTGCTGCTCTCCTGGATGCAGAAAAGGGAGGGAATGAGAAAGTGGCAGTACAAAAAGCCACTCTTGGACGAAAAATAAACGAAATAAAGGATTAAATCAAACAAAAGAAAGGGCAAAAGGGAAGGAGAGAAATTGCTAGGAGTGAAATTTCAGTAACAAAATATTGCTGTTCTTGTATGGAAGACATGGTGAGTACATGAAAACTATACATCCATTCCACATCATCTAGACTGACAGGGCCTTCAGATATGATACATGTTAAACAACTACCCTGTGGCAAGGCCTCAAAAGACCTTATGATATTTTCTGTTTTTTAAAAATCAGGTACACAGAAAATTGTGTTGGCATTTTGCTACAAGTATATGGCTTGAAAGCTGTTTCTCAGATGTGAAGCAGGTACATTTCAGAGAGAAGAGAAGGCTGGAGCAGCCATTGCATTTGAAATCACTTTAAGGGAAACGACTATGAGATTTTGGACAGGGGCATGATGGAATTGAATGCTGTGTTATGATCCTTTGAGGCAACCAACTTTTTTTTTCTTTGCTGTTCTTTCAGATGGGTTAGCTGATTTTCTTCACCTAATGATTCTTTGCTCTTCTGCCACACGTTTATGTAGCCACACTACTAGCTTCTGTTTCTTAGAGAGGAAGCAGTGGCAACAGGATGTTAAGTGGCTGCACTGGCACAAGGGGAGAGCTGGGAAGGGTGCTCAGGTCTCTCGCTTTCTCATCCTGGTCCATGCAATAGAGATGCCCTGGCTGTGGGCTGCTCATCACTCCCTTTCCTCAAAGGGAGGAGAAGAGAAGATCTCATGATCTCCACAATAATATGAATAATACACTCCTGTGGATCTCCTCCCACCAGGGACCATCTCTGATAGCTGAAGCATGACCAAGTCCATGGCGAGCACTGGTAGAGCTGTTGCTGCGGTTAACAAGCCAAATTATTCACGCTAAGATCAGGATAAAGTAAACCTTGTGATAAGTTTTTACAGTTTCCCACACCATTGTGGTGTGATCAGCTTGTCCAATCTGGTTCTGCAAAGAGAGGACAAGCTATAAGACATGATGAGAAAGGGAAGTTTTCATTTTCAGAAGAAATGGAACCAAAAAAAGCCTTAATCCTGCCCATTTCTTTTCAGAGCCCTGCAGTTCTCTGGGCGTGAGGAGAAGGAATGTCTTTTGTCATGTAGAATAGCAGATCTAACAGTAGTCCCAGCTGCAAATTTGTATATTCTCCCCAGAATATCACCCAGAACGAACGAATGCTGCAATCTTTTTGCCATGTTGTTGACAAGAGATGATCCCCAAAGTAAAGAAATACTTTTATAAATAATATCCTCTACTTCCTTCTGGAGGCACATGAACGATTCCCCGTGACAGGGAACATGTGCGTGGCTTTAAGTCCAAGGCACTGTTTTCACACTGATGTTTACCTGTGAATTCCTCTTCCCTTTTGCACCTTGCCTGACCAGTTTAGGAGGGAGGGAATAGAAAAGGGTTGTATTATTTTGTTTACATCTTTCTTTTTTTTTCTAGGCGTAAATAAATTTACTAAGAAGCTTAGAAATCCCTACGCCATCGACAATAATGAGCTGCTAGATTTCCTCTCCAGGGTACCATCGGATGTTCAAAAGGTAGGTAATGAATGGCCCCCGCCAACAGCGGCAATGAGCGGCACAGAGAGCGGCTGGGTGCTCTGCTTGGGGGATGCGATGCCGGGGCACTTTTGAATAACGGAGATAAGGAATCGGGGAAGATCCACGGGGGAGGGGGAGGGAGGTGTTAGAAGGGCAGGGAGCCAAAATCCTTTGTCGGAAGGATAAAATGATTGCAGAAAAATTATCCTGAAAAGACCTACTTAAAAATGATCTGGAAAATCACCCAGCATGGTTACTGAGCTGTGGTTTCTGTCACCTTTCTGCTCCGGTATTTGTACGGAGGGAAGAGAAAAATAGTCTTTTTGATAGAGACAACCATCTAAAAGGATTTGCTGAATTCTCCCTTTGCTCAAGATGGAGGGGGAGGGGCATTATTTCTGTGACTTAGTGCTCGCTGTGTTTTTTTGTACATCAGCTATCCCTCAAAATTTTTCCTCGCCACCCACCTTGAGCTCCCGTCCTCCCTTGGACAATGCTCTGCTCATCTTTTTCTTTAGAGAAAGCCTTGAGATGTGTGTCAAATATTCTGTGGTTGATCAGAACAATATTCCACCGTTATGGAATTATAACTTTTAATCTAACCAGAATCTGTCCTCCCTCAAATTTCAGTCTCCTCTCATATTTCTTTTAAACACCACCACTGTCTTCAGTAATCTCGCCTATCTTCCTGGAAATTATTTGAACAACAAGTCCCTTAGAATGTCAAGATCTGTTTATTTCTCGGAGGAAGGAAAATAGTCTTGCTGGATAATGAAGCCACATGATATAAAGGATTCTTTCTTTTGTTTTAAGCAACTGGAATCTCCGTCCTCAGGCCCTGATCCCAATGCCCTGGGTCCCACTGACATTGCACCTTCCACTGTGAATCGCGGTGCTTTCAGTCGGGTGCTGCTCACTGTGAATGAGGGGATCACAATCTCTCTGATACTGATGTTACTCTGTTGGAGACAGAAAAATAATTGCCCACATGCAGTGTCGAGGCATCTGGTAGAAACAAGGTTGGAAAAGGCTTCTGGTGGCACGTATTTCAAGAGGTCACCAGATTGGTTGGTGGCAGCACTGATAATTTGAGAGAAATCTCGCCATAGACTGGTGGGAGGAAAAAAGCAAACAGAAATGATTATAGAGACGTTAAACTGCAGTGTATTTTTATTTTTTTGTCATTGCTCCGGTAAAGCACGCTGGATTTGCAGTGATGGTTTGCATATGCCCTTTTAGTGTTTATGTTTAAAGATTTAACATTTACATTTATAACGTTTCCTTGAGTGGTTTCTATCATTTTGGGATCCTTTGAGCTCTCTGAGGAAAATGATAACCGTTTTCTATGAGGGAGGAGTGATAAAGTTCCTAGGGTGGGACAAGCCTCAGAGTTTTCCACCAGTGCTAAATAAAGTGACAGCCACACGCTCTAGTGAAAGTCATCCATGGCAGCTCCAAAGCCTCTCTGTCCGCTTCGTTTCGTGCGCTATCAATGCACCATCATTTTACTGTGGTACCGCAAGGAGTTCAAATTTACCTCTGCCTGTACATTAGCCATTTACAACCCACATGTGTTAGACAAAAGACAGAGGAGGAGTGAAAAAGATGGCATGTTCAGCAAAAGTTGCCCGTGATGTCAATGGGAGTACTCCTCTGTAGCACAGCAGACAATTTGGAGATTACACCATCCTTGTCAGTTTATCACACGTTTTAACCATTATATTGTATATGAAGTTGTTTTGAAAGGTGAAGGCAGCTTTGTCCAGGTTCTATGTGGGAAAATATTTTCCTTTTTTGAAATGGTTAAATATGTCAGCATCCCAAGGTCTGTGTATAGTTTTGACAACTGTCATCTTATTGTGTATTGAGACCCACTTGAATTTAAACTCCTGAGAGAAGTTTATTAAACTTATAGGTTAATGCCAGAAGAAGAAGAAAAACAACTCCCAAACCAAAACAAACCCAAAAGATCTATCCTACATTGCTGAAATCAGGTAGAACCCCATGTATCTCATTAGAAAAATCTGCTTTTAATATTTTCATTTCAAGAAATGATGCATGACTTCTCAAATCCTTCCTGCAATTAATCCCCCATGTTCCTGTGTTTAGAAAATGATTCATTACTTTTGAACCTTCCTTAGTTTCCCTTGGTTTGTCCTCGGGGAGCCATTAACACACACTGTAGTGAGCTAGAGTTACCTAACTGCAGACGTCATGTCTATTTGTTTTTACAGGTGCAGCACGCTGAATTGAAACCATACAGCAGCTCCAGTCCCATTAGGAAGAAGCGGAGCGCGCTATAGGATGCAGCGCGATTTTGGAATGCGGCATCTCCCTCCGTACCCCCTGCGCGTGCATACACGCCTCCCCCCTCCCCTTCTTGCTTCAGAACAACACTATAACCACTGCCACAGACTTTTTTTTTTTTTTTTTTTTGTTGTGGTTTTTTATAACAACTTTTTTGGGGGTTTCTGCCCCTTTTTTTTTTTTTTTTTTCTTTTTTTTGGTCCCCTTCAATTGCAGAGGCAAGGCTGGATGTGGCAGCACTCCCTGTTTTATGTAGGAAGAGATAATTCCTCTTAGTGTAGCAGATCAGCTGAGCTGATTTGAGGAGATGTTCTGAACCAGTTTTTAACATATCCAACAGATTTACATTAAGATATGAAAGCTATTCTTTTCTGAGTTAAATCACTATGCCTAGAAAGGTTTAAACTCTGAATTAACGAGTCTTTGATACCCATCTTCTGCTCAAGCAGCGTACATTTTAAAAAGTTTTTTATCATAATTAGCAGAAAGAACTGGGAGCTCCAACAGTATCTCAGTATTTCATCCAGCACTTGTGGGTTTTTCTTTTTCCTTTTTTTTCCTTCTGTTTTTAATGCTTACCCTGTGGTTAACTCTTCGGATACTGGAATCATCAGAGATCCATTGCTGGCAATGGATGCATGAGAACCTTCTGCCGTGAAAGGATTAAGACTGTAGAAAAGTCTAACTCACTGACCTGAAAAGACTCTGTTGACTTGCCTGTTCTAATCCCATCTCATCAGATATTTTCAGCATAGCTGTTGTTTTCCTGTCTAAATCCAGAGGGGTCAACACTACAGATCCAAGAGAAAAAACACTTTATAGCCTTAAAGAAAGAAGTGCTTGTGCAGAAAGAGAGCACGGGGCCCAAAGGCGTGGTTGTGCAATAGTGTGTGGGCTTTGGTCCACCACTGATGTCTTGTTGGAGTCTTTCCTGATGGTTCACAAGGAGAGGGTCAGAAAGTGAAGTCATATGGAAAGGGAGCAATGAAGAGACAGAAGAAAGGACCCCATTTTCTGTTCTAAAGAGAATGTAATAATGTGATTTCTTGCCTAGTTACCAATCTTTTAGCTATTGTGCTTTTGCTTAGTATAATCCAGATAACCAGCATTATTTATGTTGTTTCACTAAGGAAACTGAAACACAGAATCATCTGTAAACTTCTTTGATTTTGATGAGAGTGTAGCCCTCGGTCCTTTAGGTGCTGTAAGACATTGTGAGAGCAACTTGCCACCACAACAAATCATTGGTAGCACAAGAGTTGGAGTTGCTTCTTGTGATTCCCAGGCTGGGGTTACCACCAGCATCCCCTGGGGTAGTTCACAGTACAGAGAAATAGAGAACCCCAAGAGACTGGCTTCTTTTTAACGAAAGATGACTTTGGAAGTAATTGAAGGTAAAACAGGTAAAACCTTGCTTATGGATCGGTGATCCAAATGGAGTCGTGCCGTGTGGTTCAGTAATGCAATCTTGTGGGCCCGTTGCATGAATTCGAAGAAGGAAAACTCACACCAGAGTACCTTCCACTGGATTATTAGCCAGATTCAGTGATTTTTCGAGAAGTTTATTTTTCAGAGTAACAAGCCCCACTGTGCCTTTGAATAAGGAGAGGCACATTTTCGTAGACTTGATTGGATAAAGAATGTATTTTGCTTATGCAAAGCTGTGTGTAGCTGCGTATGGAAAGATAGAAAAAAGATTATCCTGGTGTAAAAAGCCACAAAAATGCGTTTTTGTGTGCACGTGTTGGTGTGTACCCATGTGTACACAGAGTTGTGTATAAAGAAGAGTACGTGTATAATGTATTTATAGATGAGTGTGTGTGGGAAAATGGGTAAGTATACAGATTTAAAAACCTTGAAAGTATTTATGAAAAATGCCAAAGATTCTAAAGCTTATCATCTTGCGTCTGTTCTTCTTCATTTTGTATCTTTCCCGGCATGTCTTTCTGACTGAGCCAGATCTCTACATGATTTGATTTACTTCAAGTTAATGAAGCTGGTTGGAAAGAGCCTTGTAGAAATTATAAAATCTCCAGTAAATCTCCTCTTGTACATACAATAGATGTCCTCGGACTCCTTTTGTTAAACCAGTTTCTCAATCTTCTGTGTAAACAATGCCTTATTGTCTTGCTTGAAACTATCATCTGGTTTATCATACTGCAGTCTTGTCATTTTGTAAGGACCAAAGTCAGACATACTGAGCAGGCATGTAAGAATTGATCATTGCTTTGAGTGAAAACATTCAACTGCAGGAAAAATTGTTTATTTATTCGGAAGTTGGGACTGATACTTTAATAGTTTTGGGGTTTTTTTTCCTGTAGATTTTTCCACGTGGAACTGATTTCTGTTCAGGAGACAGGGTGATGTCTTTTTTTTTTTTAATGTAGATATGTTGTATTTCAGAATAATTTGTATTACATTGTTATGCTGGAGACATACCAAATGAAGGGGTTGGGATGGTCCAGTACCTATATATGTTGTAATGAGCTCTGTGTTTTGATAAATGCTGTTTGAAATGCAATAAACATTTGAGGTTAAACTGATGCTTTTAATTTATCTGGATTAAAAGATACATTTCCCATTCTTTGCAAAATGCTCACTGTGCTATGCTATTTAGTATCTGACTAGGTAAGCAAGTACATCGCTTGACAGTGCAGTGTAACAGCTGGCGCTGGAGGTTACTTGTAATGGAGCCTGCACTGCGTCAGGAGAGGAAGTGAAGCCTTGCGCCACCTGCTTTCAATGCTTCAGTGGGATTTCCTAGGCCCTGCCTAAGGAAAGGAGGATTATGTGCATTTACTGCACACCCCCGTAATCAGACTCTTTACTGAGACTTTTCATTTGGTTCTTAAAGCAAGAAGATTAGTTGATACATATCTCTGTGTGTCCACTTGCCTGTGTAAATGATCAGCTTTTACATTGTTGATCTATTCAATGTATAGCATGAAAATTATAAGCTTACAGTTTTAATTTAAGGTAGTCATTTCACTGCAACAATATATACATTTGCATTCTAAAGTCTCTAAGACCAGAAGGCATTTAGAAATTTAAATCTAACTGTAGATCTTTTGGATGACTCTTGATTACAGAATCATGGAGATACCAGAATATGACTAAACATGTCCACTACCGGTACGGTGTGTAAATAACTGGAATTGACGTATATGTGCAAATGCAATATGTACTCAAATTTGCCCAAACAAGCTGCTGCTGAAGGTTGGTTTCTTGAATAATCACGAATAGGACTGAGGACTCAGCTCCCCTATGGATCACTGTCAGTAAAACTCAGTCACTGAAACGCACCTTGTGGAAAGCCAGCGAGTAGCTAAACAAAGCAAAGTCGGTGGAAATGTCACGCGCCTTTTTTTT